CGGTGGGGAGCGACTGGGAAGCTCGCCCATTAGAAGTGGCTTGGAAAGCCAGCGTTCCCTTGTTGATTTTGTAGTTGTTGTTATTGCTGTTGTTGTTACACTCTCGTTACTGAAGAAAAATAATTGTTGATCCCCCTTTCTAATGACCATTGATTGCATTATGAATGTGCTCACCCCAGGGCTCGCACCCTGTTTCTTTGCCAGGGAAAGTCATCGGGCTCAAACTGTGTTGTCGGCCCGCGGTTTACATCAACAACGGCTACAGCCTGATACTTCTTCTGAATGTATTCCTAAATCGCGCTCTCGCGCGGGACTTCTTCAAATTGTATACGAATCGCGCTCTCGCGTGGGGCTTCCTCGTAGCGTAGTTAGACGATGCGCCCTCGACGCTCAGGAATCATGCTCTCGCTCTGGCATTCGACACGATTTACTTTGGAATCGTGCTATCGTTCCAGATTTCCTCGCGGTTCATGCAGGGCCCACGCTTCAGCAACACGCCTGCTCGACCTGGTCGCATGGGCCCGCCTTCCCGACCTGCCCGCTATGGGTCTGCCCACCCGATCTGCCCGTCTGGTTCTACCTCTCGTTTCTGCATTTTGCCCTCCTCCTGTTAATTTCTCTCGTGCTCAATTCTTGACGCTTCGCGTATCCCCACCAGCTGGCCTCAGACGCCCTGGGTTGCCGCCCGCCGCCTGATCCGCGGCTCCGCGCGCGCCCGCTAGTTAGTCGCGGCCGCCGCCCGACCGTGACCGCTCGCCGCTGGCGCTTCCGCCTGCGGCTGTAACAAAAAAATCCCCACCAGCTTCGACTCGGCGCCTGCGCGTCCGCTTGCGCCCGCGAGGAAAAAATATCCCCACCAGCTTCGCAGCTTGCAGACCCTGGCCGCCGGCCACCCTGGCAGTCCGCCACCCCCTGCAGCTCTTTGCATTGGTGCACCCCTGGCAGCCACCGCCTTGCATGGACGCTGTTTGTGCACTTTCTGCCCCTGGCCCTGGCATCCACACCCAGTGCAGATTGCAGCTCACTTGAGGCTCCGCTTAGGCAGCTAGGCAGGTTAGGTGCGCGGCTCTACTTTGCCCCTGTTGTCAATTAGTAGGCCCGCGCCCCGGACTTACGACTCGCCGTTTGCGCTCTCGCCTGCGGCCGCGACAAAAAAAACATATCCCCACCAGCCCATCCACAATTGATTGCCCGTTTTCTTGAGGCCCTTTTCGGGGCTACCTTGAGCCATGCTCGGCTAGAGGCTGTCGGAGGCTATCATGAGCCATGCTCGGTTATCTTGGGCCATCTTGAGGTTGTTTTGAGGCCGTTTGGAGGTCTGTCGGAGGATATATTGGGCGATGCTTGGCTGTCTTAAACCATTTTGAATGCCATCTTGGGCTATCTGGGGCTCTCTTGGAACCATATTGGGCCAAACAGGGCGGGGTGGAGGGTCTTTGGGAGAGGCTGGGAGGCGGCCTCTTGGGGCCATCTTGGGCCCCATGGCTCAAAAAGAGGAGGTCCCTCAATTAGTACCGCCCCCATCGGAGGCTCAAAAATGGCGTCTTGGGGCTATCCTGGGCGATCTTGGGGTCCTCTTGAGGCCTTCTCGGGGCCGTCTTGAGGATCCTTTCCGGGAGTCTTGGAGCCCTCTTGGGGATCTTTGGGGGGTCTGGGAGGCCTCTTGGGGCCGTTTTGGGCACCATGGCTCAAACGCAGGGGGGAACAATTCGCCCCCCCTCCCCCCCCCCCCTTCCGAAGCCTGTCAAACGGCATATTGGGGCCCTCTTGGAGCGCTCTTGGGCGCCTCGTGGGCGATCTTGGGGCCGTCTTCGGCCTTCTTGGGCCCCTCTTGGGCCTCTTTTGGGCCATCTTGGGGCCATCTTGAGGCTTCCAACGCCCATCGGAAGCGAAAAGGCGACGATGCCAAAAACATTGATTTCCCTTAGGCTTTGGAACGGTTTTGGCATCTTTGAGGGCGCCGTGGAGTGCTCGAAGGGCACTTGGATCCGTCTTGGGGTTGTCTTGGGGCCTCTTGGGGGTACGTCGAAGGCTATCTTGACCCATTTTGAAGTAGCATGGGCCATCTTGGAGGCCATCTTGCGACTTCGAAGCCTTCTTGGAGCAATATTGGGCCATCTTGGACGCTCTAACGCCTCGGTCCCCCCCCTTCCTGGCCCAAGGGAGGGGGTAGGGGGAGGGGTTTCAGTGGAAGAGAGAAGAAAAACGCGCTATATCACCTAAGCCCAGAGGGCTGGTGGGATTCTTTTCCCCCCCTTCCACCCGTCTTCTTTTCCCTTATTGCGAAGGCCTTACGGCCGGTGCCGCCGACCCTGGAGGGCGATCCATGCGTTCTCTAATGTGGCGGGGGGGGCCTCTTGGGGGTATCTTTGGGTCTCGTGTGGGGGGGGGTCGTGTTGGGGCCGTTGTTGGCAATCGTGAGGCTTTCTCGGGAGCGTCTTTGGCCGACGACGACGACGTTGACGGCGGTGGCGACCTGGAGCTATTCTCAAGGGTCTCTCGGGGACTCTCTGGGGCTCTCTCGGGGGCTCTCTCGGGGCCTTTTTGGGCCAGTTTGGGGCTTTCTCGTGGGCCTTTTCGACCGTTTTGGGGGGGGGGTCTTGGGAGCCTTTGAGGTTGCTTTGGGGTGTTTTTGGGCTCGGCTCGGCACTCCGGGGGCAGCTACCTTGCCCCGCGCTTTTCAGTAGCTACGTTGCGGTTAAAGGGTGAGCCAACCGAGCCTCAGCTCATGCCGGATGAGCACGCGAAGCTCCTGTGGGCCTTTTGGGGCTTCCTGGGGGCCTCTTGGGGGTCTCGTGGTGGCCTCTTGAGGGCATCTTGGGGCTTCCTGGGAGCCTCTATCGCCGAGGGCTCGTCGGGCCCCCCGTCTGGGCACCCTGTTGGAGCCGTTTGGGGAGCCTCTGGGGCCATCTTGGAGGCATCTTGGGCGGTCTTGAGGCTGTCTTGGGTCATTTTGGGGCTCTCTTGAAGCCTCTTGGGCTATCTTGGGGCAATCTTGGGGGCATCTGGGGCCGTCTTGAGCGTCGGCAAGTTGAAACGGCGAGAACGCCAAAATCAGTCAAAAACTGTCAGGAAGTCATGGATTTTTTCCTCTTCGTGCCCTCTTGGGAGTGCTTTTGGAGACTTCTTGGAGCGTCTTGGCAATCTCTTGGGCCGTCTGGAGGCCACTTTGGCGTCTTCGACCGATGGTTCGGCGATTCGGGGCCCTCTGGAGCCGTCTTGGAAGCCTCTTGGGGCACTCTTGGCCAGTCTGGGGGCTTTTCTAGGTCCCGGGACATCCCGGGGGGGATGCGTATCTGCTCCCCCCCCCCCCCCCGGGACCCCCCCCCCCCCCCCCCGGCGGGGAAGGGATCAAAGGGAAGGGGCTTCCCTTCGACTCAGCTACGACGTTGCTCAATTTCGCTTTGCCTTCGACTCAGCTACGACGTTGCTCGATTTCGCTTTGGTTTCGCTTTGGCTGGCGCGCCTGAGGGGAGGGCGACGACGACGACGACGACGACGACGAACGGAAGAGCATCGACGACGACGACGACGACGACGACGACGACGACGACGACGACGGCGGCGACGACGACGACGACGACGACGTTCACGACGAACGGCAATTCATCTTCCACACGCCGACAGGGTCGCCAGATTTTAGGTGCTGCGCTACATGCGCGTGGTAGGTAAGGAAGATATACCCCCAAGGGGGTACGATCGAAGACGACAAGGGCGAGTACTTCAGATTTCGTAATATAAAAGGGAGGGGGTCGCAACCCTCCCAGACGAGAAGTTTTAGACCCCCCCCGTGGGAGAACCCTCCAAAACATCGTCCCCAGACCCCCCCAGGCCCTCTAAGATAGCCTGGAAGAGACCCTCCCCGAAATGAGGCCCCCCCTCCCTTTATTACGAAATCTGGAGTCTCGAGAGCTTGGGATATATGTATGGCTTAGGACGTGAGCAGAGTGGAGCGAACAGTCTTAAACTGATTGTTATTGTTATTGTTGCTACTTGTGTTGTTAATGTTGTTGGTGTTGGTGTTATTGTTGTTGCTGTGGTTGTTGTTGTTGTTATTATTGGTGTTGTTGCTGTTGTTGTTGGTTGTGTCGTTGTTGTTGTTGCTGTTGCTGTTGTCGTTGTTGTTGTTGTTGTTGTTGTTGTTGTTGTTGTTGTTGTTGTTGTTGTTGTTTGTTGTCGCCGTGTTCCACGCGGCCCGGCCCGCGACCCGCCCGCGACCCACCCGCGATCCACCCGCGACTCACCCGCGACTCACCCGATCCACCCCGCGACCCACCCGCGACCCACCCCACGACCCGCCCGTGACCCGCGACCTACCCGCGACCTGGCCCGCGACCCGGCCCACGACCCACCCGCGACCCACCCTGCGACCCACCCACGTTGTTTCAGCAAGAAAATCAGCGCTCGCGGCGGGCTCACGGCAGCGGGCGACGGGCTTTTCCAGAGCCTGGCAGACTACCGACGTCCTCGCCGCCCCTTCACTCTCATCCGCAACTGCGGGGTACACACACACACACTCACACCTTGTCTTGGGTTCCCTTGGCGGGGATAAATGACTCGACAATTAACGTACCCTGACTGGAATCTGTCATAGCGTGCCGCGCAGGAGTCATGGTGGCGGGGTCGCATCTTGGCTTTGGCAAGAGTCGGCAGCGAGTGCAGGTGGGAAGTGAGAGGTGGCAGGCCTTCTCAGAATGCGTCTGGGCTTTTCGGAAGCCTTCGCGCCTTCTGAGAACCCGTTCCTGTCGTCGGAGATTGTTTGGGAAGCTTCACATGAGGCCCGATGCCTTCCGAGCCTTCCGAGAAGGCCTGCTCCCTCTCACCTTCTTTGGGCTCGCCGGCGGAAGAGACGACCCAGTCTCGAGTGCGTTGCGGGGTGCATGCTGTAGAATAGTTCTTCATGAGGACAAGTTGATTTGGGAGGGTTGGATCGCACGTTATGTAATTGGTTGTCGTGAATGTGCGCAAAGATGTGCAATCATGTTTGCAGCCGCCTCAAGGAAGACAAAGTCGACCTGCACAGGCACCCCTCATGATTCTGCACGTGCCAGCTGAGTTTCCGCTTGATTCACAATGATGAAACAGACTTTACATTGCAATTAGCACCATGTGAATTGAAGCGGCGACGCAGACTGAACACATTATCAACGTAGGCGTGTACTTTGACAGTTCTTATAATATGGTTTGTTTGATGTGATGTTGCCAATCTTCCCGCAGGCAAGCATACTTATTCGTTGGGCGTGTCTCTTGCTTGAACTTTTCCAGCGCCACATGTGTGTTCTGCGCCCTTCCTTTTGGCTTGTGTCACCCGCGTGTCAACATAGGTCGTTGTCGACTTGTGCCATGGATGTGGCGTCCTATCATCACGCATGTACCTTTCGGTGTTGACGGACCTGCATTGACATGGCGAGCTGGACCGCTTGCAAGGCTGAAGGCCATCTGCCCGAAGATCCCGAGCGCACAGGTCCGCGGTCGAGCCATGCTATCTCGGGTGACAGTGGGTAAGCATGCATAAACTGGCGGCGAGCGAGGGGGGATGAAGGGAGAAGGAGAAGGTCCTCTCAGAAAGCGGCAGGACTTCTCGGAAACCCGCGCGCCTTCTGAAGAGGTCCTTGCGCCTTCGGGGAAGGCTTCTCAGAAGGTCGGGGGACTTCCGAGCCTTCTGGGAAGGCCCGCCCCCTCTCACTTCCCCTCCCAGCCCCCCCTCTCGCCGCCAGATAGAAGGGGTCGCCCGGGGCCGGGGGCCCCCGAACCGCTGCCAGCGCCCGGAGCCGAGCCCCGAGAGTCGTCTCCCCGAGCGCGGCTGGCGAGGCGCCGCGATGGGGGGGGGCGGACGGAGGCGGCCCCCACGGCGATCCCCACGGCGGTCTCGGCCCGACCTTGGGCCTCGGGGCTCCTCCTCCTCCTCCTCCTCCTCCTCCTCCTCCTCCTCCTCCTCCTCCCTCCTCGTTCCTCCCCTTTTTTCTCCTCCTCCTCCTCCTCCTCCTCCTCCTCCTCCTCCCTCCTCGTTTCTCCTCCTCCTCGTTCCTCCTCCTCCTCGTTCCTCCTCGTTCCTCCTCCTCCTCCTCCTCCTCGATCTCCTCCTCCTCCTCCTCCTCTTCAGGACAGCGGCCCAAGGCCGGCTGCGCGTAGGATAGGGAGGCAACGTGATACCAGTAAACCGTACCCAGGCAAAGTATGCCAGTGAACCGTACCCAGGGGTGGTGTGTCGCCCATGGAGAAACCATACGTAGAGCGACTGAGTGTTTACTTGCGTGTCATCATGTATCGTGGACACACGTTGCAATTACAGCCGCGCGCGATATGGATACGTGGGCACGCAGCTAGCCCTCGAGCCATGGCTGGATTCCCGGAGTGTCGATCGGCCTGGTCGGGTGATCGTATTGTAGGATGTCCGACTTTCTCCCTCTGTCAGTCCCTGCTCTGCAGAAAAAGGGGGAAGCCCACCACCCCACGAAAAGCCAGGTGGACGGACAACTACAGCTCCCCCCCTCCTTCCCTCTCATCCTCCCTCCGTCTCTCCGTCCCTCCACCCCGCAGCCCCTCCTCCTTCCCTCCGTCTCCCCGCCCTCCTCCCCCCTCCCCCTCGCTTCTCTCTCATCCCTCACATCTCTCTCCTCACTCCCCCCCTTTCTCCTGTTCCCTCTCTCCCTCCCTCCGCCCTCCTCCTTCCTCCTTCCCCCCTCCCTGCTCCCACATCCTCTCCCTCCCTCATTCTGTTTTCACTGATCTCCCTCTCCTCCCGCCCCTCTCTCCCCTTCCGTTCCGTTCACTGTTCCTTCCTCCGTCCCTCGTGCCACCCTCGGTTCCTTCCCCGTGTCTCGTTCTTCTACTCCTCTCAGCGCCGTTTCTCTTTTCCGCGTTCCGCGGCAGGCCTTTCACCCCCTGGGCGGGCGGGGGAGCGGGAGGGAGAGAACGGGGACGGCCGACCCTAGCCGTCGTGGCCCAAGCAGGCGCGCCCGAGACGGCCCAACGTCAGAGACGGCGAAAAACCACGCGGGGCCATGTGTCGCGTCTGGCGCCAGCCGCTCGGAAGGCGGCGGGACCTGCCAGAAGCCCTCGCGCCTCCTGGGGGTTTGTTTTTGTCTGTCTTCCGGGAAGGCAACAAACACTTCTCAGAAGGCGGGGGAACTGGCGAGCCTTCTGGGAAGGCCCGTCCCCTCTCATTTCCCCCCCCGGTTCCCCCCCCGGACTGGCCGCCAATCCGAGCAAACATAATCTCCAATGTGAGGCCCCAGGAGCGCACAGGGCAGCGCTCTTCGGAGCATTCCGTCCTTACGTATTCCGCACGGAGAGTTCTCGCAGGGCTTTGCGGACACTCCAGCTCGAGTGCGTGCGGCAGGGTGGCGGATAGATTTGCAAGAAGAGCGCCCCCCTTTTTGTTTCGAGTGCCCGGTCACTGGTTTCTTCGGAAGTGTCGGTCTTGAACATTCTGGGGCGCAGTCGCAGTGACATGACGCGGGCGTGCGAGCGGTTCAGTGCCGCCCCGCTTTGCCCCATGGACCAAGACGGCCCTGTCGTCTAGTAAGTGACTGCTCGAGTGGCCTTCCGGACGGGCTTACGGTTGTTCTTTCGCTTGAGGCCGCGCCCGCCCACCCTTTCGATGCAAGACTTGGCGCGACTGCGGTCGGCTCGTGCAGGCGTTGACAGAGGTAGCACATGAAACGCAGAAGAGGAGAACGAGTTGGAGGCGAGGATAACGAGTGCAAGGAGTCCATGAGGAGGGGGATTTGGGGCGCGTAGGAGTAGGAGGAGAAGGATACGTGTGGAGATGAAAGGGAGAGAGAGGGAGCGAGGAGGAATGAGAGAGTGGCCTCTTGAATGGGCGTTCTTGGGCTGTCCCGGCGTTCTTCGGGGGCCTTCTAGAGCCATACTGGCTGCGTCATGGCTGCGTTTTGCGTCCCGGAGGTCGTGTTGAGCCATCTCTGGGTTCTCTTGGGCAGTCTTCGGGAGTTGTCGAGCCGCTCCTTGGTCTCCCTGGGCCTTCTCGCGACACTCCTGAAGCGATTTATACAGAGATATACCTGTACACGTGTATATGTATATATACATATATATATATGTATGTATTTATACATCTATATATACTAAATATCCCCACCAACCCATTCAGAGACCCTGCCCACGAGAGCTGACGGGGAAAGGGACGAGTAAAGTGAAACATGGCGGGCAACCGTGCTGAACTGAGAAATCTCTGGGAGCAACGGGGTGAACTTGGAGGGGTTTTGCGGCCATTCCCGTTGCGGCCATTCCCGTTGCCCGCGTGGGCGATGGGAGGAAGGAGGAGGAGGAGGAGGAGGAGGAGGAGGAGGAGGAGGAGGAGGAGGAGGAGGAGGAGGAGGAGGAGGAGGAGGAGGAAAACGACGACGACGACAACGACGACCACGACGACGAAGAAGAAAAAGACAAAGAGGAATACGATGAGGGCATGGACGAGGACAAGGACCAAGAGGGGGAGGAAAAGGAGGACGCGAAGGACAACGGGGACGAGGACCCATGGAGCCACTTCATGAGGCTATAGGACGATGAGGACGAAGAGGACGAGGAGGACGAAGAGGACGAGGAGGACGAGGAGGATGAAGACGAGCTCTCTCAGCCATCTTCGGGTATGTTTCTGTGCCTTTTGAAGTCCCTCTGGGATCCTCTCGGGGTCCTCTTGGGGCCCTCCTTGGGGCCATCTTGGGACCTCGCACCCCGGTGCTGCGCGTCGGACTCCGGCGCGGACGCCTCCGCCACCGCCGTCGCCGCTGCCATCGCCGTCACCATGGGCCGCCGCCGTCATTGTCGCTGTCGGCGCCGCCGCCGACGTTGCGGCGCCGCTGCCGCCGTCGCCGCCGTCGCCGCCGCCCGTGCTCGGGAGGTCGACCTCCTCTTCGAGGACTGCCAGAACAGGATCAAGTCCACGGTGGGCCCGCTGGCCTCCCGCCCTGCCCTGACGCCGCCCCTCCTCCTCCTCCTCCTCCTCCTCCTCCTCCTCCTCCTCCTCCTCGTGCCGTCCTGCTCCTCGCCGCCCTCCTCGTCCTCGAACGGCTCCCGCTGCCTCCGAGGTCCCACCCCTCGCCCGCTCGCCTCGGCCGCTCCTTCCCCTCCTCCCTCGCCCACCCCTTTTCCTCCCCTCCCCACCTTACCCTCCCTCCCTTCCTCCCCCCGGCCTCGCCCCCCTCCTCCCCCTCTCTCTCCCTCCCTGCCCTCCGTTCCTCTTCCCCTCCTCCCACTCCTTCCCTCCCCTCCCCACACTCTCTGCCCCACCCTCCTTCATCCCCGCCTCACCTGGCGGCCATTCCTCCCCAGAGGCGTGTACGGGGTCGTGCAGAGGCCCCGGAGGCTTCAGCAGCGGCCAGAGGAACGAAGAGCCACAAGCCTCGACCTCCGAGCCTCCCTGGCCTGCCAACGCCTGCTCAAAGTCAGGACCCGAGTCCGTCCTGGCCGTTTTCTCACCCCGCAGCGATTTTTGACGAGCCGGGGCCCGAAATTCCGAGGCGGGACTCTATACATGACCCTCGCCTGGAGGGTTCATGTTCGGGGACCTCGGCAGGCGGTGGATGCGGACATTTTCGGGCCCCCGGGGGCCAAACCATATCCACCGCCCGCTGGGGCATCAGGACGTCGGTTCCCAGGCGGTGGATATGGATATATTCCCGCCTCGCAGAAATAGGCCTCCAGAGGCCGAGAATGCAGAACATCTTCCTCTCCCCTTCCCGCCTCTTCCTCCTCCTCGTCCTCCTCCTCCTCCTCTTCCTCCTCCTCGTCCTCTCCTCCTCCTCCTGCTCCTCCTCCTCCTCCTCCTCTTGCTCCCGCCTCTCGTCGAGCGAGCCACACTCAGCATCCTGATACGGTAGCAGAGGAGCGACGGAGAAACCTGAGCAGCAAGGCGACACTGCTGCGTTTTCTTTTTCCGCCTCCCGTCAACCTGCGATTCTTGGTCTCTGTGCCATCTCAGGGACTTGTGCCCGCACTCTTCTGGGACTGCAGCACCAGCCTGAGCAGGTGAATCACGCCCAACGGCTATAACGGCGGTCAGCAAAGACGACCACCAGCGAAAACGGTTTTGTAAAGACGATCGAAGACGACCGCTGGCGGAGACAATCCTGGACGACCTCCGGCGAAGACGACCTTGGATGACCGCCAGGGAAGACGCCCCCCAGAGATCCGACGTACTTTTAAGTCGGGCGTGTCCCTCTGTCGGAGGGATATTCAAACATAGTTCAGAAACAATAGTAGTCTGGTGACAATGTGTTTGACTATGTTTGCCCATTTTGGGGCAGTAATAACTTGTTATTGCAAGTCATAAGTCGACGCCCCCAGGCGGGAGTGTCCCGCCGTCGGCGCACCGCGCGATGGCGCGCGCCCGCATGTCCACCCGCCACGCGCCGCCGCCTACGTCGGGCGGGCCAGGCCCCGCGCGGGCATGCTGGCGTGCCGCGCGGCCGTGCGTCGGGGTCCTTCCTCCCTCCGCTCCTCCGTGCGCGGTCGTGATGTCTCCTCTTTGCCGCCCGGCCGCGGGGCGGGATATCAAGTGCCCGGTCATGTCTGCAGCGCCCCACCTGCCTAGTGTGCACTCTTAAGGTGGGGCGGCTGGCCGGGGTGTGGTCCTCTGTCTGCCAGTGTGCGGTTCTGGACCAACCCTGGGGGCGACGCGCGGGGCGTCCGTTCGCCAGAGTGCGTCGGACGCGACCGCGGTCGCGCTTCTTTTCTGGCCCAGTGTGGCCCCTCGTGGGTGTCGTTGTCTAGGGCTTTTCCCTGCGGGTCCTGTGTCCCTTGGTTCACCTCGGGCCAACGCCGCTGGTCCTTGGTGACCTACGCGTTGTTTCTCCACCCTGGCGGAGTTTGTTTCACGGCCCTGAGGGGTCACGGCGTTGCTATCAAGCCCAGAGTGGCCTCTTACGTCGGCCCAGTGTGACCAACGTACCCATAGGGTTCCCCCTCGCGGGTCCAGAGCGACCCTCGTCTGGCGGCCCAGAGTGGCCATTCAGTAGCAGGGCAGCCGATGCCAGCCCGCGTGTCTGGCGGCCCTAGAGCGGCCAATCTTCGATAAGGCGGCCGTTGCGGCTTGCCTGACTGCCAGCGGACCCGCGCGTCTCGCTTGGAGACCCATAGTGGCCAATCGTTGCGAACGTTTCTTTCGCATTCCCAGTGAACAGTCGAGCGCGAGACTCGCAGCGCGCCAGACTCGCAGCGCAAAGGCATCGAACTCCCGCCGTCGGTCGACGGTTTTTGCTCTTGCTGCCGCAGGTTCGCAGCGGCTCCGAATGTCGGGTGAAGTCAGCGGCTTCTGCTTGCTTGCGATGGCGGAGCTGGCTGCGCAGGCGGCGCTCGTGCCGTTCGAGGCGAAAAGAGAAACTTGGCGCGCGCCGCGTCCCGCGCGCGGGTCGCGTACGCAGACGCAGTGTTGTCGCAGGCGCGCGAGCGGCTTCGCTACCTGATGGTTAAGGGGGCGGGCCCCAGGCTGCAGGGGCGAGCGCCGAGGGGCCCGCCCCTAGCAATGCCAGCACCACCTGCCAACGAGAGCTGCCGGTCGCCAGTCCGACTCGGAGCAGTCGGCCTTCGGTTAGTAAGGCTGGAGCAGGTGCGGGCTGAACTTCGCTTCGCCCTGGCCCAATGCGCACCGCGTTTGCCGCGCGACGTCTGCCATGTCATAATGGGCTACGCTAAGTTCCAGATCGTCTCTGCGCCCGTGATACGCCGCCGTCTAACGGACAATCCAGACAGCGGCGACGAAGCGCACATCCGCCAGGTAAAGCTGCGAGCGCGCCCGCCAGCGCGGGTCGCGGGCGCCCAGGGCGGCGCGCGCGACCACAACGCCTTTAACAAACGCGCGCGCTCGCGCCGCGCGTGTCGTCCCAGTGTGGATTTGCGCGCTCCCTCCCGGAACTGGAGGCCGCATAAGGGTCGTTGTGCGGGCTACTAAGTACACCGTGTAGCGATGTCGTCTGACGACGAGGCGCCGTCAACGCAGCCCGCCTCATGTCGCGAGACGCGTCACATTGGCCCTCTCGTGTGTTCTTGCTGTCGCGTGTGCGTGCGGCGGGAGCATCCAGCCCCCCAGCTCGATCGCAGCAGATCGTCGCCACGGAGGCGCACATCTGCCGCAGGGCCCTCAGGCAGCCCCTCGATGGAGCTGACGGCCACGGTGCCGCTTTGGCCGTGCGCACGAAGCGCGAGGATCGACCAGCTGGCCAGCGCCTGCCCGCTCGGTAAGACGCGCGACCCGCGCTCACGGCCATAATCGGACCAGGTTTCCGCAAGCATCTCGCGTTGCGTTCCCGGCGCCGCCGTTCCTCCCCCGCGTTCGGGGTGCGCGCGTGCGTTTTGCGTCTGCGAAGCGGCGGACCAGGTATCTGCAGGCACCTCGCTCGTGTTGCTACCGGCGTCGCCGTCTTTCTGTGCGCGTGTTGTGTCCGCTGTGTTGCAGTCGGCCCGCCGCGTGATCCCCGCGTGCGCGAGCAGTGCGACGCTGGTGTTTTCTGGCTTCTTTGTTCGTGATGGCGGACGGACCGCTGCTGCGCTGTCTGCGCCAGGACCCCGTGTTCGGGGCAGAATGGTCGGACATCGAATACAAGACTGCGATTGACTGCCTAGGCGCAAATATGCTGCTGACGCCGGCGCAGCTGGCGAACATTCGGCTAGAAGAGCTGTCAGGCTCGGAGGGCCTGCCAGCGGGCGTGAAAGGCGGCCGCGCGCTGGAGCGCGCCACAACTGCGGGTAAGCAGGTAGCGTGCGCGAGCGCGCCCGGCGAGCCCCCCTGGTCTGCGCGCTCGCATCGGGGCGGAGGCCAATGTGGAAATGGCCGCCCCCGTACACCACGTAGACGCGGGCGCTGAGTTGGCGACGATTACGTTGAACGGCCTCAGCCAGGCGATCTGGCCGAGGCGCGCCCTCACGTGAGCGCGCCAGCGGCGGTGACAGCGGTCGCTGCCTTGCACAGGAGCGAGAAATGTGATTGGATGGCGGTCGAGGTCGTACGCGCGAGAAAGTCGACGAGCCGAAATCCTTCACATCAGTAATTTTGGGTCTCGGAGCCCACGGGGCGGTTTTTCATGTTTTCCATTCGACGTTCCATGAAGCCCGATGTCATTCCGAGGCCGCGCGTCGAACGTTTTCGATGGCGCGTCGCGTTATGCGATGCCACGTGCGTTGGGGTCGTCAAAGGCTTGCGTGCTTGTTGCGGATCGGTTGATGTGGGCTGGGGTTTCTCAGGATTGTACATTTGCTTTGCGCTGGGGCGGTTTCGACCCCCATCCCTGGCTGATCCACCCTGCGGGTAACGTCGCAGGAAGAGTTCGATCATGTCGTTCGTAGTGCCAGCGATGCTGTCGCGGACATTGACCGCGCCACGGGGGGGGGGTCGTCCAGAAATTTCCTACCATATTGCAGTGTTGGTTCTTCGTTTTGAAGAGACACCGCCCCGCGTCATTCCTTCCGGCCCCCTCCCTCGTCCTCCCTCTTCGCGTATCTGCCCCTGCTCTCCGCGTGTCTCCGTCGTCATCGTCCATCGTCATCGTCGCCATCACCATCATCATCAGCATCATCAGCATTCTCGCCGTCTCCATCATCAATACCACCACCATCCTCATCAACATCATCAAAACACCCCCCTTGTTCCCCCGCGTCTCTGCTTCGCCACATCCCCCGCAAGTCTCGTGGCCTTGTGAGGTGCTCCACCGAAGGCCCCATCGGCAGGGTCCTTAGTGCGCCGCCCAGCCCATGTCGGCACGCCCCTCAGACGTTTCGTGTCCCCATGAGGAGCTCATCGGAGGTCCCGGCGGCAAGGTCCACATGCCGTCGCCCAGGCCACATTGATGACACCCTCAAACATTTCGTGCCCCTATAGGCAGCTCCACCAAACAAAAATCCCAGCGGCAGGTTTCCCAGGCCGCCGCCCAGCATATTTCGGCATACGTTTCA